CGCGCCCTGGCTGCGCTGATTGCAGCCCCGGCCCCTGGGCTGCCCCTGGCGGGGACACCGCGCCGCGCGGGGCGGCTGCCGAGAGCGCGCCCTGGGAGACTGCTGCAGCGCCAGCGCCCCGACGCGACGGGGATGGGCGCGCTGTAAAAAAAGCCCCCGATTTGAAACCCCTCCCGTGGCTTGGCCAGGTTCCCGCTGCGCCGGCGGCGGAGGGCCATGGGGAACATCTCCTCCAACATCTCCGCTTTCCAGTCCCTGCACATCGTCATGCTGGGCTTGGACTCGGCCGGCAAGACCACCGTCCTCTACCGGCTCAAGTTCAACGAGTTCGTCAACACGGTGCCCACCATCGGCTTCAACACCGAGAAGATCCGGCTGAGCAACGGCACGGCCAAGGGCATCAGCTGCCACTTCTGGGACGTGGGCGGCCAGGAGAAGCTGCGGCCGCTCTGGAAGTCCTACAGCCGCTGCACCGACGGCATCATCTACGTGGTGGACTCGGTGGACGTGGACCGGCTGGAGGAGGCCAAGACCGAGCTGCACAAGGTGACCAAGTTCGCCGAGAACCAAGGCACCCCCTTGCTGGTCATCGCCAACAAGCAGGACCTGCCCAAGTCCCTGCCCGTGGCCGAGCTGGAGAAGCAGCTGGCGCTGCATGAGCTCGCCCCCTCCACCACCTACCACGTCCAGCCCGCCTGCGCCATCATCGGCGAGGGGCTCACCGAGGGCATGGACAAGCTCTACGAGATGATCCTCAAGCGCAGGAAGTCCCTCAAGCAGAGGAAGAAACGATAACGGCCGGGCCCAAACCCCGCTAGCCTGAAACATTGCCGGGCCGGCCTCCCTAGGCGCCCCCAATGGGCGCCTGTGTCCGGACGGGCGCTCGGCCCCGCAGCGCCTTTCATTGGGGTCGCTACTGCTTTTAACTCGCTGGCAGGACTAGGAGATGGGTGAGGCTGGCGTCTGGGTGAAGCGGCTGCTGTTTGCCCCCCGACGATCAGATCAGCCAGCAGCTGAGCTTGGGAGGGAATTGCCTTTCCTTTTAAATCGGAGTATTTGCGGTGGCGCTTGATGCAACAGGGCTGGCCCCTGTGAAACTGAGCTTGAATTTGCTCCTGTCTGTGGATCCTTCAAAACAAAACAAAAAAGTGTGTGTGTTGGGGGGGTACTACTTCAGGAAGCACTGGATGCTGAGGCATCTGTTTGTGGTTGGGAAAACTGCGGTAGGAAATCACAGGCCAATACATCTTGCTGAATGGTGGATCGGTAAGGTGAGCCTCCTGGGAGAACTGCTTTTCAGGTTGCACCAGACCTCCCCTTCCCCCCACCCCCTTCGGATTCAGCCCATATGTGGGTCATTATCACACACCACAAATCAGACCAACAAAATCTCTGAAGCCCTGGAATGAATGAATGATACACTACTGCTTGCAGTAGCTGTTGTGCTTAAAGGGAATGCCCAGTTGTTTCAGCTGAGGGTGCCCATCCTATTTTAAAAACAAAGTCTATCTAAGGAGAGAAATGTATTGCTCCATGGGGGATTTAAAGCTATATAGCCAGCTAGATGGCTTGTGACCAGCTGTTGACTGGTGCTGAGTTTTAAGCTGTTTGCTAAAAGGGGTTCTGTATGAATTTTTGCCATGAAGGGTTCTCAAGCATCTCTTCATTTTCAAAGGTTTATCTTTTTCTTTTTTAAACAGACTATCCTGTAGCAATGGTAAGCAGTAAGTCTTGCCACTTTATTGCTGTAGCCTACACGGTGAGGACATGTTCGGATTGTCTAATTTGGTTCAATCTGGTTGATTCAATTTGCGCACTCCATTTAAAAATAAGTCTCATGACACTGCTGGATGACAGTTCACCTCATCTGCATGGATATAAAAGCAAACGGAAAAGCACAAGAGTTGCTAATTAAACTGTGGTATAAACATGGACTGTGAATCAAGCCAGTACCTGGATCACCAGAATACAAACATTAGGCAGCTAAACTTGTACCACCCAAAATGGCAAGAGTTTGCAAAATCTCTAACGCAAAGGGATATTGGAGTGCAGAGCAGAGTGCGAAGTGGAAGTTTTAAGAACTTTTTGATGATACAACCAAAGGTTTTTAACAAATTCAAGGCTCAGTGTCCTAGCTGCAAAGCAGGCAAGGGGAGATCGTGCTAGTGCAGTAAATGTACAACAGGCTTAGACTTGTTTCCAATCACTTCACTAGTGCAGGATCAAGCCCAGTGTTTTAGCAAGATCCTGGCTGGCTGGCCCTTCCCCATCAATTGGTGTTTTGACATTAACTTCACTGAGCACAGGATTGGACCCTAAATATACATAAGCTGGCTGCTTCTTGGTCGGTCTCTCTCTCATGGAAACTCATCTCACAATGAGAAAATTCTGATGCTCAGAATTTCATAACAAGAAGAGAGTTTGGAAATCAGCAGCCAACAGTTTTTTGCATACCAGTGTCCCACACCTGTGGTTCACTGGTCTTAATATGGTCATGTGAGAATTTCTGGTGACTGAAGTATTTGGCTTTCTGCTTGAGTGCATTTCCCAAACAAAGAAAAAACCTGGGTGAATTTCAGGCAGCTGATTCTCCCTTTTCAGCAATGAACTCAGTACTTTCCCAATAGCATTTTGTAGAAATCCAATATTGAAACCAAATGGTATTTAGATGCCTGCGAGATTCCAGTTTACAGGAGTAGTGACTGCTTCGCTAATCTAAGAAGTGGGCTGGTCCCATCATTTCAGGAGGGTCTGTACAGTTTCATTGGAATCTTTTGTGTTTTTTTTCTTTGCCTTCACATGAAACACTTTCTGAAGCACTTTGACATTTGGTAGTTCCACACTATTGAGAGAGAGAGAGAATATATTTATTTTGTGACACTGCAGAAGCCAAATGCTCCAACCTTTGTTTTGAATGTTAAAAGCGTTTAGGGGTTAAATAAAACGGTTCTGATCAAAACCTGTCATGCTTTAAAAATAACACCTATTACAGGGGGTTTTCCCCCAGCATCAAGACTTGTTTCTTGATCCTGCAGACAACTTTACTGAGGCAAATAGTTTCATTAATTTAAATGGAACTGTTTGTGGAAATAGGACATGCAGTTGCAGGATTGGCTCCTTACTGGACAGTCAGTTAAACTGGCCCTAATTAAGCAAATTACTTAAGCATTGCCTAATTTGATCCCTACCCCGCAAAAGCACTGAAGCATGTGCTTAACTTTATGCATATGTTTAGGCACTGTGCTGGCTAGGGGCCAGATGGATCCAGGGTCATGGTCACTAGTTGTACGTTTTTGCAGTAAGTTAAAATACTTCTCCAATTAGTAGTTAACAGGGTCATTGGTATTTCTGTAGTGTTTCAGGACTGTAATGACTATTCCTGAGTGCTAGGGCTGAGTTGAGCTGTGTTAGCTGCAACTGTGATTACAGAAAAGCTTTACCTAGTCTGCTGTTCTAAAATCACAGTTGGATTTACTCCAGGTTGTGTGTCCTCTCAACTTTATGGGGGGGGAAAGGTTTTTGTTTTTGTTTTTTCTCAGCAAATATCCTGAGATGCCAGTCCCATTTCAGACTTTGTCTTCACAGTGTACCTGGAACTCAAGAAAAATGCCATGTTATGTAGTATAACTTTTCATTTTATCTTGTCATCCATCCTCTGTTCTTTCCATCTTTCCTCTTTTTAAAAAAAAAAAAAATGATGCAAACATGATGCTGTGAACTGAAATAAATTATTTATACGATGAAGAATTTGACAGACGTCTTTGTTCTTTCTCTTAATAATTCAGCGTGTTTTCATCCATAGCTCTCAAACCACTTTTCAAAGGAAGTTGGTATCACTATCCCCATTTTACAGATAGGGAAACAGAGGCACAGAGAAGGGAAATAACTACTTGCTCAAGGTCAACTAGTGGCAGAACCAGGGATAGAATTCAGGTCTCCCGAGTCCTCGTGCAGTGCACTAGCCACCAGGCTACACTGCCTCAGAGAAAGATAATCTTGTGCATAATCACAGGACTGGGATTCAGGACATTGAGTTCAATTCCCAGTGCAGCTAAAAACTCCCTGTGCAAGTTGGGCAAATAATTTAATCTCTCTGCACCTCAAGTCCCCATATGTAAAATGTAGATAACACCATTGTCTGTCTTGTCTAGCGAGACTGTAAATTCTTCAGATGAGGGCCTGTCCCTCACTATGCATTAGTACAGCACCTAGTGCACGGGGTTCTCTAGTCATGACTAAAATAAATAATGAAAGAAAAAATAATAGTTCTGACTTACACCAGACCTACAATAGCAGCTGAGGACTAAGCATAAGCACGGGCATGAGTCTTTGCAGGAGCAAGGCTAGAGTCCTGTACGATGGATAACACCTGAATGTAAAGTATGCTAGAGAGGCTGTTAGTTACATATAGAGTTATGGAGACAGATCTTCTGCCCTGCTAAAGCCTTAGCTCTATGCTGGGCCAAGCACTTTTGAAGTCAGTGTGGGGACTTCCCGGTATGAGGTACTGGGGGGGGGGTGGTTTTGGCAGCACGGCCAGGGTGTTAAGTGCATTCTGGCACTTCCCAGCTGCCACAACAGGCCTTAGGGGCACTTCACTGTAGCCCTGAGGCTGGTCTAACCAGGTTCCAGATCAGTGCCTCAGGTACATTATTTCAGCTAACCTATGGCACTCGTGCATTATTATTAGCAGCATCTGCAGCCTTCAGCTGAGATCAGGGCCCCATCATTCTAGCACTACACAGACAGCCTTTCTCCAAAACAGTTTAGGTCCAGATCTCAAAAGCATTTACGTGCCTAATTCCCATTGATTTCAATACCGAGAAGGATTTGGGCTTTACATGCTAAATGGACCAAGTGGGGAAGAGGCAACAGAGGCCTTGGCTACACTGGCAATTCACAGCGCTGCACTTGCTGCGCTCAGGGGTGTGAAAAAACACACACACACCCCGAGCGCAGCAAGTGCAGCGCTGGAAAGCGCCAGTGTAATCAGCGCTGCGAGCGAGCGATTGCCTTCGGAGAAGTGGAGTACTGCCTCGGCAGCGCTGTGAATCCGCGAGTGTAGCCAAGGCACAGCAGTGAGCCCATGCACCTAAGGTCACATAGCCAGTGACCACATCTCGAGTCTCCTGCCACCCAGGCCAGTGCTCTTTCTACTAAACCATGCTTCCTCTAGCTGCATCTCACAACTTAACCAAGACATCCCATTCACACAACTGTGCCTCAAGAAGCACGTTTTACTGCAGCATGCAACCTTGGCAGATTTCCTAACCTAGATGGGGCCAGGTTGTGTTCTGATTCCCAAGGGCAGGCTGCAACTGTGTTGTGAGTTTCACTGGGATATGGGGGGAGTTGGCTATAGGCCATTGATTGAACTGAGAGGAGATACTGAGCTGTGATTGAACTGAGAGGAGATACTGAGCTGTGATTAAGTGGTTGTCCAGTCTAATTACTATACCTGGTCCCTTTTGCCGCAGCTAGCCCTTTAGAACAAAGGGGACTCCAAACCATTCCCAGCCCCGCCCTCTGGGACCTAACTATGCACTGACTAAAATGTAAGCAAACTTAAAACTAAATGTGCAGACTGAAAATGCCACAAACCAACTCAACAGGAGTATTTGTGGCACCTTAGAGACTAACAAATTTATTTGAGCATAAGCTTTCGTGGGCTACAGCTAGGGTGACCAGACGTCCCGATAAAATTGGGACTGTACCGATATTTAGGCGTTTGTCCCGCGTCCCGACCTATGTTTGGTCGGGACGCAATTTGTCCTGATATTTTGCACTCCTGGTTTTGTTTTGGTTTTGGTTTTTTTGCTACGCCTGCGGGACTCCCGCCCATGCGTCCCGATATTTTCTTCATCCCATCTGGTCACCCTGGCTACAGCCCACTTCTTCAGATGCATAGAATGGAACATATAGTAAGGAAATGTATATACATACAGAACGTGAAAAGGTAGAAGTACCCGTATCAACTCTAAGCAGCTAATTAAGATGAACTATAATCAGCAGGAGAAAAAAAACCGTTTGTAGTGATAATCAAAATGGCCCATTTCAGACAGTTGACAAGAGGTGTGAGGATACGTAACATGGGGAAATAGATTGAATCTGTGCGATGACTAGTGAGCAGAGCTCAAGGGACAGGACCTCAGCTGGTGTACATGGGCAGCTCTGCCCATACACACCAGTGGCGGAGCTGTTAAAGAGTTGAGGGCCAGATTCCTTCCTGCTGAGGCTCCTGCACAGATTTTCATTGTGCCTTAGGAGTGGAGTTGCTGAACTTTAGGTGATATTTTAGCTACCCTGGGTCCAGGCCACTGAGCACTATAAAGATAAAGAACATGGCTTGCTATTCTATGGGAAGCCAGTGTGGAGAGCAGAGGCCAGATTCTGTCTGTTGGGTAAGACACTTTCATTCTCTCTCCCTTTCTGTCTTGTCTATTTAGATTGGGAACTCTTCAGGTAAGGGTCCGTTTGTACAGCTCCTAGCACCCTGGCCCTCATCTCACTTGGGCTCTCCGAGTGCCACAGTAATACAAGCACGAAATGTTTGCTATTTTCTTTGCTGCACTATTAGGTGTAGGGGAAAAAAATCAAACAAGTGCAGGGTCAAAAAAGCACAAGAGTTGCACTGTTGCTAAGTGTGTGACCAGTGCGCTCACCAGCGCTAAGAATTGCCAGCTCTGTCAGAGCATGTTTGTTGATGGAGTCTTTGATGGTCAATCAAGTATGTTTCCTGTCTTTGACATTCCACATTCCACTACAACATCAGAGTGGTTTCTTACTAGAACATATTGAAGACTCCATTTATATGTGTATATAACCTCTAGCTTAGCTGATGCATCAGTGTTCCAAACACACCTAGAGTTTGGAGGTAGTTTGACAAGGATCTGAACTTTGGGAATGTTCTGACCTGGGGTTTTGGTTTGGTGCATTATATAGCAATATGGGTCAGCCACAAAATCTGGCTCAGTGTCTGGATCCAAGCATCCCCTACGTTTGATGGTGCACAGGTCCCAGATCTGGGTTTGGGTTGATCTCTTCTCTTAACTTTCCAGTCAGCCCCAGATTCTCAAAAAATATTTAGGTGCCTAAATCCTTCTGTGGATCTAGGCCTTATTGCCTTAAAAGCTACATTCTCCTAAATTATCATTTATCTTAGCCTGGTGCTGATGGCAAATGTGTGTTATTCTGCACAGCTCCCACAACATGCTAGGTGCTTTCCTCTCCTTCCCCTGCCCCCTGAAATGTTTGATGGGCAGAAGTTCTGAGGCACAGAAATGAAGTAAGAAAGGAGATTGGTGTAGTGCAGAGGTGAGGGAGCAGCTGTGTCTTTCCATTTCCTGCAACAGTTTGTTCCCATTATTTTCAAAGTCTCACAGATACTGAGAGGGAGTTTCAAAGGCACCCATCACTGGCTGTGATACCATTGACATCCGTCTGCAATGGAAGCAGAGGTAGGCCACTAGTAATACAAATAGTATTAATCCCCAGCTTTGATGCAGCATTTTTCATCTGTAGATCACAAAGCGTTTTACAAAGGAAGTTGGTATCATTGTCCCCATTTTACAGATGGGGAAACTGAGGCACGGGAAAGGGAAATGACTTGACCAAGGTCACCCAGCAGGCCAGTGGCGGAGCTGGGAATAAAACCATGTGTCCCAGTCCCGCGCTCTAGCTCCTGTTTTTGCAAATCCAATCTACAATTTGATATAGGTTATGTTTTCATGCACAAAATTGTGGCAGCTGAGTTGTTCTCCTTGTGCCAAGAGGCCCCCTTCCAGCTCTCCAAGAGAAAGACCCAGAGTTGCTTCTATGGCCTTGCCTGCCTTGTACTTTCAGCAGGGGTGTCTCTACAGCAAACAGAATGCCCTCATTCATCCAGCTATTCTTGCTAAGCTAAATCTCTCTGCATTATTTCAAATGGGATTTGGTCCCAAGAAAGTAGCGCACTTAAATGGATTATCCCAACTAATACCGTGCCCATGAAGCCAAACCCTCGATGTGCAGCTACAGAGAGGGCTTTATCTTCACATGGCAAGGTGTCCAGTGATGCATTGGCTGTAAACTCACACCTGTAGGAAAAATTTGTCTCTAAATGATGGGCCTTAAACTGCAAAATCTCCTGATGACTTGAATTTGGCCCCTGTTTATTCTGTTTTTTATTGACGGATGTATGAGTTGGATCCTGGATATTTTTCACTAAGGATTACATCATTATTACAATGAGCATTATTTATTTATTTCGGTCGCATCCAAAGTCCTCAATCGTGGATCAAAGCTGCATTGCACGCGGCACCTAACACACATAACACATTGCCCCATTACAAGTCAAGACATTTCAGTGTACGTGCATAGCTGCTCTTTTAAGGCTGTGTGTCGTCACTAGAGAACACCACAAAAAGAGATTCCCACACCTGAGCCATTCTTTTTAGGGGACAAACATAAGGAAGTACTTCGTCACACAACACACAGTCAACCTGTGGAACTCATTGCCAGGGGATGTTGTGAAAGCCAAAATTATAACTGCATTCAAAAAAGAATTAGATAAGTTGATGGAGGACAGGTCCATCAATGGCTATTAGCTAAGATGGCCAGGGATGCAACCTCACGCTCTGGGTGTCCCTAGCTTCTGACTGCCAGATGCTGGGACCAGACAACAGGGATGGATCACATGATAATTTCCCTGTTCTGTTCATTCCCTATGAAGCATCTGGCATTGGCCACCATCAGAAGACAGGATT